GAACAATGGAAATTGTTCTTTAAGGAAGAGATAAGCAGGTCCACTGTGAGGCGGCTGTCTGAAATCTACAGCATGTATCAGGAAAATGGTAAGGGACAAGGCTCCTGATCCAGAAGAAAAGACTTGTTGGTTTTTTCCCTAAGTTCACAGAGCTCATAAACAGTAACAAAAATTCCAGTGATGTCACTTCTTCCCCCTCCTCTACCCTCCCCTTCCTTTCCTGCCCATTCATGTAACTACAGTCCAATGAAATTTAAAGTAAAGATAAAAGTAAAGATGCAGGCTCTCTGCTGTGATTGCAGAAACTTTGCTCTCCAACTGATCTGCAAAAGGCAGTCTTTTCAGACTGCAGAGTGCCACCTAGATGATGGAAAGAGGATTTGCTGAGAGTCAGCCAACTGAAGGTAATAAATCCTTTGGGGATGCATCGCAGAATGCCTACAAGATGCTTTTCAGAACAGATCTTTGCAGACTGCAGATGTTTTGTGGCAAGGTTTGAGTTTTTTTTCCATACTAAAATACTCCTGTGACTGAATGAACAATGCTTTCAAACAGCTTGCATGATGAAACGAGAACCCTTTTAGTTCAGCATTCGAATATTTATGCATCCACAAAGAGAAATATTTTACTCTCTTCTTTTTTTCTAAGTCTTCAAGGGTTCACCTATTTCAGACAGGCACTGAATCAGGACCATCCTGAGGCTGGAATTCCAGACAGACCTTCATTAAAGGAAGCACATAGATTGGCACAACTGAACTCTAATGAGGTTCTGCAAGTTAATAAGTCTTTTGCACATGTGCAAATATTTGCAAATGAAGAGATATAGAAGGAATGACCTCTACAAGCAGTTGAAGACAAGCTAGACATTGCCTATCTCATGAATGGAAAAAATATATAGCAGATGTACCAGATGAGTCAGAACACATAGAGCCCTCTCTTAACACCCACAGCTGAACTCTCTTACTGTCCCCAGGTGACCACCATGCCCTTGAAACAAACAGGAGCATATTGAGAGTGATGAAATGATGAATACTTACTGAGTAAGTAAGTATTGGCTGAGCAAAGGATGCCTCCTAGTTTAGGTGAGCCTGAGCTCAAGGTGATGCCACAAAGATCAGCGAGGCTTGTGGGTCCATGTCAAAACTCAGCCGGACATTCATCGTTTAAACTGAACAGCAATGAAATAGCCAAACAATGCCTCCCATAAAGAGAACACATTTAGAAGTCAGGCTGCTCCAGAAGGACAATTATTTTGGACCATCATTACAGCCTTTCTTCTCTGCTGTCTGCATACCTTCATGTAGTGCAGGAACAAATTTCAAAACAACTTGGAAGAGAAATGAACAGGCTTCTGCCACCTAAGCCTTGTTTCCCATTCCTCTGCCACACTTTGATGGAACCAAGAGGCAGGATCTAGGTTCAAAACACACTCTCCTTTGATTGATGAGTAGCTGAAGGAATGGACTGGCATTAGTTCAGTGTCAGACCTCCTTGGAAGCTTCAGGCCGGGTTAGAGGGCTATCCCAGTTCATAATTACATTGACATGAAAACCAAATAGAACTTGTTCTTTTCTGACACTACAGGCCCATTACTTGTGCAGAGCAGAAGACCGAGAGTTGAAAATTAAGAAATTATGGAAATTATGGAAAAAGAGGACTGTGCCCAGTGTTTTGACTCAGGGCAGGGAGCCCTTCACCAGCACCACCAGTGGAGCTGTCAGACAGTGGGACAGCAGCCAGAGGGACACAGCATGGCCAAGCACTCCCTGCCTGCTGGTTAGGGACCATGTGCTAATTGGCCTGCAGTACATTGATCGTTAATGCTGTGGAGTAGGAAGGAAATTCAGTGTTTTGTAGTTCCTGGTGGTTGAAGGGTGGAGGAGAAGCAGAAGATGTTGCCTTGCAGGGTGAAAGACTGCACACCTTTACAACCTGAAGAGAAACAGTGATAGCCTGAAGTTCTCTTGAAAAACGTGAATGTCACCTTAGCTTTTGTACTAAATGCTTAATGTAGGTGCTAACTAGAGATGATCTAAGGCAGTTTTTAAAAAAACAGACTCACAGGAGCCATACCAATAGACATCCACAGATGAATTTGCAAGCATGAAATAGAAAAGGGCAAATTCTCAGCTGGTGCAAGTTAGCCCCAACCTTTTTCTTTCCCTACCTCCAGAGAGAGAAAGACAAGAAAATCAGTTCATTCACTCCCTTATTTTAGGCTCTTTCCTTATATTAGGAACGTGAGATGAAGACTGTATGCACTGAGATGCAATAAATCAAACCTTGGGTCTTGTTCTGGATGAGCGATGCGACTGCAGAGTGTGGCTGCAGCATGGTGCTGAGCCCTGCACGACTGCTGGAGTGCCAGTGCCCTCTCCTGTTCAGCGTGCACCAGCTCTCCCTGCTCATTTCACAGCATGCTTGCATATGTTCAGAGGCTGGTGGGAAATATTCCCAATCACAGCCTGACATCCTGCTACAGAGTAATAAAAAGCAGCTAAAGGAAACACGAGAATGCAGCAGAACTTACTAAGGCACTGCATCCTTTCCATCACAGTCCTGAAAAATTAACATTTGCGTTGGGCCATTTCAGAAGAAATAATTCTCAAACTATCTAATTCCATTGAGCACAGCAGGCTTGGATCTTCTTTCCAAAGCACATCTGCAATGACATTTGGTTATACTTTTTGTGGCTGTAATTTCAATTTCCAGCCACCGCCAAGTATATTCATAAAACTATGATTCAGGAGGAAACCAAAGCAAAGGGAAGTGTGCTGGCAGGCCTGAAGTCAGGGTGGCTTTATACCTTAATCCCTTGACAGTCTTTCAGACTTTTCACATCATTCCTTAGTGACAACAGCACAGACTCATCCTCAGTTCACCACAGTAGCAAAAGCAGTGACGATGCTGCAAAAATGTTTCCCTAACCTCATGTGTCAGCTATCCCGAGATTTCTCATGGGTTGCTCTGATGAAGCTACTTTCAGGTCTAATATTATCATTCATGCTAAAGCAGCGGAGGGAATCAAAAGAACAAGCAGCAAACCAGTTCTATATTGAAAGAAGGGATTATTCCCAAAGACGAGGCTCCTCAATGCCTTAGGATGGACAAAAATTAGAGCAGGTGAAAGACCAGAACTGTAACTGACACGTCAGAAAGAATGTAGTTCTGTACCATCACTGCCTGGAGTCATGTGATAATGGCTATAAATGTAGAAATTTCAGATGCTAGGCTATTACAATAAGCAATTTCTAACTCCTATGCTTAGAGAGAAACACTTGGGAGTGTGATACTTAATGGCTCAAAACTCAGAAGATGAATATAAAGAACCCCAAGCTCCCCAAAATGTACTCAGCTAAGTGCTTCAGCAGTGTCTGACATCTAGAGCACATTAGCAGCCTTATTATGCAAACCAAGCAGTGAAGATACTCCCATCCGGTAGGATTTTCAGGTTACCCACCGTACTTCTATCCTCAGAGGTTACTGTTTCTTTCACATCACAGTCAATGCTACATCAAAATAATCCCAGGTTTTCCAGTAGCAGGGGCTGCATCCAGTTGATGGCTAAGGAAGGGAGGGATGCAGTGTAAAACTGCTGCATGTTCATTGACTGAAACTAATGGAAGAAATGCAGAGACTATCTCATTTGCACAGACAAAACACTGTCAGTAGAAACATTTCAAATTAACTCACTTTCTCTAGGTTTTCTGAGTAGATAGTGGATTTCTTTCATTACTGTGTGAAAAAGGAACAGCAATCAGTACCTCTCCCTTTCCATCACCTCTGCACCTCTCATTAACAAAGAAGTAGTTTTGTTTTGCTTCCATCAATCTAAAAATACATGCAAATCATTAGCCAAGCTAACGAACACGATACTAATAACCTGAAAACATTGATAGCAAAAAACATGCAAGATAAGCAACATGAACATGTTTAGCACATTTCACCTTTAGCAAGCTTGCAAGCAGACTTGTGCATGAGACAGGAGCGACCTGAGGCACTGCAGCAGCACAGGGCTTTGGTGATACCACTGCCACCAGCACAGTGGGAAATCATCCCATGGCTGTTGCTGTAGGCTGTAGCTGCTGGAAATCACACCCTTCTCCTGGGGATGCTCTGTCTTCTAAACCTAAATTGCTGCCAGTAGAGCAGTTGACCAATCCAAGCATAGGGCTCAGGTGAGCTGGTGGATGTGTTTCACCCTTTTAAAGTGGCCTTTGTGCCATTCTCGTGGCTTTAGTCTTATTCTGACCATCTCAGCAACAACCAGGAATGGACAGTGCGAGAACAAAGCCTTTAGAATCAGAAATGTGAGGGCTAGAAGGGACCTCTGGAAATTCTCTGGTCCAATTGAATTAGTGACGGGCAACCATAAATAGGATATTAATGTTAAATACTCTTATTTATATTTCCCCTCTGCTATAACACACACAATTAACAGAGTGAGCCAAAAGTTCATACCAAAATGTTTCCCAGTACATCGGCAGCAATATTTCTATATATTCTCCCTGTCTTTAGAAGTTACAGCAACCTGTATTAAATTAATTCTGCTTTGTACTCTGCCACTTAGAAGTAACAGAGCTGCTCTGCTATCAGATGTCAAATTTCTTGCCACTTTCTTTCTATAAACCTATTTACAGGCAGTGTCTTTTGCCAGTGGTGGCGTGGACTGGAGTTCACAGCCCGCGGAGAAGCAGAGCTCCTCTTAGGAAACAGGAGGACATCACACCAAGTGAATTTAGGTTTAGAAAAAGGTGTTTGCATATTATAATCAGGGTTGGACGGAGTCCAAAATGAGTCATGAAGGAATGGCTGTGGATGTAACTGTAAACACCAATAGACCTACAATACTCCTCTTTGGAAAAGACCATCAACAGACCACTATATTCAGTCTAAGGATGCTAGAAATATGTACAAGCGGGAAATAATGCCACAGGTCTCTGACAAAAATTAATTCTAAAATAAAATAGTAAGGGAAAGTTGTATGTCAAGGAGCCTACCTGTACTGATGAACTGAAGTCTATTTCTGTTTCTTCTATTAAAAACCCAAAGTCTGGGATCTTCTGGACTGAAATGAGAGCAGCTGAACTTGGAGCTTCCTTGAGCTGGTTCGTGTCCTGTAAGAGCAGGCATCATCTGTAGGGTACCAGCCAGGGCATAACCCAGGGCATTGATGGAGCCATCCTCTCAGGATGTAATGAGGACTGAAAATGGGCATTAAAGGTGAGCACATCCCCTGCAGCTGAGACAAACTGCAGCTCCACATCAGCCAGCACAAAGCACATTCAGAGCACTGTTGACAATGTCTACAAAAAACTCCTTTTTCTTGAAATTCTTCCCCACAACTCTCCTTAAAACCAGAGGAGGCTGATGACAATGTCATTTGCTGTTGTACATAAACAGTATTTAACCAATGGACTTTAGAATCATCTATAGCACAAAATTTCTCTCCTGAAATTTCCACTTACAGCTCATGTCTGTGCCTAACAAGCTGCTTCTCCCAATGAAATCACTGCTGACACTTTCCTTCCACCTGCCTCAGGAACATGGTTTTCAGCCATTCCACAGGTTCATGTGCTCAGAACAGCTTTAGGCAATGGTTGTCCCACTGAAAAAGCATCTGCACTCAGCTCAGAAGAGGGATGTGGCTGGGCTATGGCATCACAACCACAGGGAGAACTCCATCCTTCGTGTTCCCTCTTCAGAGAGCCTCTTCAGCAAAGCGCTCGCTTTTTTTCTCATTAACAGCCAGAGAGCATCGCTTCAAGGTGTAACTCTACAGACTGTATAAATAAAAACACAATGCATAACATTTATTTGTGAAATCAATGATGCATTCATACCAGACTTGTCTGCCTTAGTGTTTAAAGTAACTGAAAGCAGGAAGTATTTAATTACTCTCCAGCAGATTTCAGTCTGTAATACTTAATAATTATCTCCAATAACTACGTCTACATTAAGAAATACGGACAAAAAGGTTAAGTTCAAAGCATGTTGAAATCAATACTGCATTTACAGAATTCCTTTGAGATAACTCTTAAGAAAAAAACATACAATAAGAAGCGCCAGCTTGACATTCCTCCTACAACAGAATCACCCGCCTACGAGTACTGCAGGACTCCAAGAAGTGTTGCAGAGAGGGGAAAGACCTCCAACGAGAACCCTTGAAAATGGGAGAAACTTCCACAACTACAAAGCATAAATTCTGCCACATAATTCTGTGGCCAAGGGAAAAACATGGCACTAAAAATTAAGGAAACTATGAACTGGAAAACTTTTTGGTGAGCAGATTCTTTTCCTTTTTTTTTTCAGAGGAAATATTTTCTTTCAACTTCTTATCATTCTGAACACTGCTTGAAATCACTTCAGAAGTATTTTTCAAGTAAATTTTCAGGGAAAAAAAATATGCAGAGCAGCCCAAGTCACCCCACCTAGGCAAGAGTCCTGCACGCACAGGGAGATCCAGGATTACAGGATCCTCCTCCTTACTATCCTCTCACTTGGGTAAAACTGGCTCATTGGTGGCTTCCACTTGATGAAGTTGTTTAAACTTTTGGAGAGCTTAGTGGCTGGGACAGAGAAGAGCAAAGCCACTGATAGGGCTGTCCACAACACTCAACTCCAAACCACTCTCAGCCAGGTATGGAAGCACTAACAGGAGGATACAAGGGGGAAGGGATGTGCAGGAATAGAAAGTAGATTGACAGCAAATGTGTGGCATGTCCTTTGTTTTATTACTGCCATAAATGGTTAAAAATAAATGGCAGTTTAAAAATACATACTTGCTTTTCCAGGACGGAAACAATTCCCATTCCAAAGTACACTTTTGCAGAAGTCATTACTTCAGTGAGGAAGATCACAGCAATATAACTGTAGAAGAGTTACAATAGGTACTGCAGCTATCAGGTGCTGATTTCATCTGTACCAGTGGATCATAAAACAGCCCTGGGCCACTCTTCATCTGGCTCTGATTGAGAAAGCCAGCTAGGAAGAATTTAAGACTATCTGTAAGTTCATTTAACCAGGAATTTGAGCTTAGGGTAAAATACCAGCTGGATTTACTGAGGTCTTTAACTCGTACACCAAGGCAAGCTGAGGGCAAACATACAAAGCTTTAGTAACTTCAACAGTCTCAAGTTTAAAGCAAAAAAGTGAGGGGCTCTTTTGTTGGGCTTTACAAACATAAAGTCTGTGAAAAGCATTCTGGAAAACAATTTCAGTCACACCTGAACTGGAACCGAACAAAAAAAATTCCTTTTCTTTGATGTCCTTGATGTGGGGTGGGAGCCATTAGTGCAGATTCCAAGTAGAGCATTTCAGGCTGAACTGAACATCTGTTCCCAAATCATGCTCCCAACCCATGCAGAAACTGGTCTGCAGCCAGGCTTTGGCTCAAGTTTTCCCTAAGTATGTGTAAAAAACTTCCTGGATCTACAGGAAAAAGAAGAAAAACAAAAAAACAAGGGGGGGGGGGGGGGGCGGGGGGGAGAGGAGGGGGAGACATGCCTGTTTCACACAAAAGCAAACTAAATAACTTTGTAACACACAAAAGCAAACTAAAGAACTTCGTAAGGTGAACAGACCTGTCCCGGAGCCGCTTAGCAGAACTCTGTTCATGCCACGAGGGCCTCAGATCAAACCTGCTGTCTTCCACCAAACACCACCAGCTGCACAGGTACTTGTGCAAACAACTGCCTGAGTACATGTAGAGGACAACTTGAGCACGGTGCTCGCTCCACAGCCACCAGCAGAGCCAAGAACCAGTTCCTCACCCCTCCAACACCACGCAAACCCCCGAGCCACAACACGCTGCCCTTTTCCAGCGGTGCCATTTTGCGAGCCCTCCTCGATGGGCGTGCGCGTGACCCCCAAGCCCTGCCGTGCCCCGCGATACCCCCACCCTGCACAGAGGGTAAACGCTCTGTAAAACCCTATGGAAAGTATGTGGAAAATGCGGATGCCGGTGTGTCTGAGCAGCGGTCTTTGCAGGCTCGCACCCTAGATGGCAGCACAATTCAAAGAATGCGCCTCAGCTCCCGTCCGGGCTGTTCCGCCATCCGTCTGCCATGCAAATCCTGCCTGAACGCCTCGATCTTTAACAACAAAAAGCCCGAGCAAAAGGTGCGAGCCGAGGTATTTCTTAGAGCTTGGCACAAATGAGAGCTGTGACGACGCTGCTGGGCTGCGCACACGGGCAGCTCTGCAGGTGCAGCGCGCTGAGGGAGCAGCCGCTCCATCAGCCACGGCAACGGCCGTAAACAGGCGGGAAGGCATCGCCATGGCGTAACGAGGCGGGTAAACCTCCGGGTGCAGAGAGAATAAAGCTCAAGGGGGTCCCGTCTTTTTTACCTGCCGAGGGAAAAGATGCTCGCTGCAGGGAAAGCTGCCACGTGCAAGGAAGGAGCTCGGCAGAACACCCTGCATGCAACCCACAGGGGTGCGGAACGGGAACGGTGCTCTGCCTGCTTGCTCTCCCATAAAGCAGGCAGCCGCTTCCTCCAGGCGTTACCCCTCTCCTCCGGAACGGGGCGATGGTGCCCGCTCACTCACATCGGACGTTTCTTCTCCCTTGCCGTTCGCTCCGCTCCTCAGCCTCTGCAGATCCTGCGCTGCTATGAGGGATCACAGCCGTGCCTCGTCCATGGAATATTATTTCTGCAGGCCTGGGGCCTCGTAGAAGAAAAGCATGCAGTTTATTCCACTTCCATTCTGAAGGAGCATTAATATTTTAGCACCAACGCATACTGACTTTCCCCATCTTGCACTTCTTGGTCTTGTCCTGTACAGAAGCAAAGTTCAAAGGAAAAAAGGGGATAGCAAAGAACATCATGTAATTCGCAATACATTTATGAAGTTTCATTACATGAAATGGAAAGCGTGGTTATTTGATCCCTGCAGCAGAGGGATAAAACATCACTCTGGCAGATACTGGAAACAACACATCCACGAAAAAACAAACAAACAAACAAACAAAAAAGACAAACAAACAAACAAAAAAACTGAGAAGGGATAACAGTTGCAAAAGCAGGCAAAGAAATGGCATCACCCTGCTGTGGCAAAGGCACAAGCCAAAGCCCTGCCCAGTTGGGCAGTACCACTGCCTGTGAACTACATGGATGACATCTTCCACTTCACAGCAGTTGAGCTGGAAGCACATCAATAGAGGGATGTATGCACAAGATAGGAGAATTTGAAGCTCTGAGTTACGAGATGCAAACCAGCACAGGGAGAGACAACTGGCACAGCCGTGATGATGGAGATAATGTTTCTCTGGGAAAATCAAATAAAATGAAAAGCACTGTCTTGGCCATATCATCCTGTATTTTACAGCTGTCTTAAAAGGGTTAACTTTGAGTTGGATATGCAAGAGTTATTTTTGTATAATAGTGTTCTGATTATGGAGATTACAACAACACGATTTATTTGAAAGATTGAATGTATGGAACATGCAGGATTAACAAAAAGTGACAGTTTCAGTACCAACAGCCTGCAAAGTTTCCATCAGTCATTGAGAAAGTAGGAAAGCTGTCTGTCAAGACACATTCTGATCTTCACAAAAGACAGATGACAACAGAGTTCTCTTTCAAGGACATAAATACAGCTACTGAATGCAGTAGAGCTTTTCTGTCCATATTTCTTTCTTCTAATGTTCTTCAAGTTCATCAACTAAAGTAGCATCGATCCCACAGCAGTTGTATGGAAGAAAAAACTGAGGCAATAGAAGGTAAAATCATCTTTAGGAAGCAAACTCATAGCTGAAGGATGCGAACCCAAGTCCTGCCACCACACAGGGCAGCACAGCTATTGGCACAACCTGCTGGGTGACACAAAATCTGGGTCAAAACATGGAACAAGCAACAAAATTCCTTCAGAGCTCAGGAGAACCAGAGCTCCTTCCCTGCATCTTGGGCCAATCATGCCATCTCGTCTTTCCTCTGATAGTTAATGTTGGGATTCATGCTGCTTTAAGCTGTATTTTTTATGTATTCTCTTCAGAAACTAGGGCTGAAAGGTGCAAAATGAGCAGCTTGGACTTCCTGGTAGTCAATCTGTACACCTAACAGTTAACAGCTGGAGCTTAGGATTGCTCCCAAGACAGGCAGCAGCCAGATCACTGCAAAGTTATGGGAAGTGCCCCATCATGTAGCTCCCAAAACATCAGGGGCTCCACCATTATGGGGAAACTACAGGGCACATTGTGGATTTTCTCCTCCTCCTTTCTTCTTGAACACCATGACTGCAGTCTGCCAATCACTGGAAGCCTCACTCACCTTCTTTCACGCTGCCAACTTGCTACAAGCCTTCACCTCATGAAGCAGCTCTTCTGATTCACACTCCTGAGCAGTGTAAATGGGCCTGGTGCCATTAAGCCGCCAAAGATCTGGCTCTGCTCTGCAGTACTTTTATCTGAGATCACTATGAGCTTACCTAGAGGTTGCCAGCTGGAATGCTCTGGCAAACTGTGTTTACAGATAATGCTAGAAGGTGGTGGCCTCTGGTTGCCCTATTTGTATTCCTTCAAAAGGTCTTTATTCATACCTACCCAAATGTACGTCAGATATGTTGAAAAGCTGGTAATGGAATTAAAATATAAGGGCTCAGCTATGCCCTCTCTCTCCAATTCTGGTCGGTTATCATGTTAATGAATGCCATACAAGCCAGAGTGAAATGACATAAAATCTTGTGCAACGTTGCTTCTTTTCCTTTGTTTCTGATGAATTACACCTTGTAATTCCTTCCATAGCCAGACTTCATCCATTACCAAACAT